CGCGGGTCCCTCTCCGCCGGCGAAGCGCCCTTCCAGCCCCGCCCTCCGCCCCAACGTTCCATTCCCCCGAGGTCCACGTGGCTGTCACTTCGGAAGCTACGGTCGAAACCGGAGAGGTTAGCCGGGGCCAACCGGTTGGAGGGTAAGGAAGCCCGGCGGAGATGGCGTGGCGCGTGTTTGAGCCCGGTCACCCCGTTATCTTCTGGTGCGTCCATCCCCCGTCATTGGCCGCGGTCCCTGTGGGTTACTTCTGCTGCAGGGTGGCTCTTCCACTCGCGCCCCTGGGCTGTGGGCTGGCGGCGGCTTTCCCCGCGGGACAGTGCTACCCACAGAGGCTCAGAACTGGCCATTCGGGAACTTCCTAAGCCCAGGACTGCCTGCCTCGGAGACCACTGTCGCTGTCCAACCATCCCATCGGCAGACTGTCTGCGTCCACGGGGGGAGGGTCCTGGGAAGGAGGGACCGAGAAAAACAATGTAAGACTCACCACCCAAGTAGATATTCAAGATTTAAATGAGAAGGAACTGAAAGAGCTGGGGCAGGAGAGGTGAGTGAGGTGAATTTGTCAGACGATTGGAAGATGGCTCCCTCCCTGTCAAGCTCTTGCTGTGGGTGAAGCGCCCTGTGTATTAATTACCACCTTGAGTCCATCCGCGAGGCAGTTGTTTGCCCCCAACCATTTTACAAAATGCAAACAGTGCCGCACTGAGGCAAAGACAGTTGCCTGGGGTGACACAGTGGAGTCTGGTTTGTCTAATACTAAGCCCCAAGCCCTTGGTCACTTCTCTGTGTCATGATACCGAGGTTGCTAGAGTTGGAAGGGGGCTTATTGGTTCTCTGATGCACAGGAAGGGGAAGTTGGGGTGGGGCCAGGAAAGACTTCTGGGAATTTTGCCCAGCGGAGCACCTTGACCAAAGCCATAGAGGTAATGAAGCCAGGTTGCCCAGCAACCTTGTTATTCCTTATGCCGTCTGGCTATTTGGTTGTTACATCACAGATGCTTCTGTGGCTCCAATCACATGGACACAAAACCACTTCCTTCTAGTCCTACAAGGGTCAGGTGTTACATAACCTCAAAGTCATACCGGTTGTGGCTGGCCCTGAGGAGCCAGGGCAGGTCTCTCACTAGCTCTCCCAAGAGTTTGAAGCCAGTGTTTGTTTAGACTCTGGGTTATTCTAGAACAAAAACAGTTTGGCCACATTCTGACCCAACTGGAGCAGGTGCAGAACTTTGGAACCAGGCCCATCTTATCTTCCTCATGCCCAGGTGTAAGACCAGATGGCTCGTTTACTGCGAAAATGTAAGACAGGTGTCTGCTGAGGAGCTAGGCTCAACCCCCACATTCCACATCCTGAGAAAGTCCAAGGCCCTACTGGGACTTCTGGGAGCTTGAGGCACCTTCTGTCCTAGTGGTCATCTATGGCTCCTGGCCTCTGCTTCGGGGCCGCTGCCTCAGTTCTCCACTGTTTCAACGCAACTCCTCCGTTTCCACCAAAAACCTAGTTTATAAAACCTATGCACCACTGTAGAAAATGTCACAGAAACTGGAGATGCGTGGAGCAAAAGAATTATTCCTCGTGTAGCTGAGATACAACAGCCTCAAGCTGTATACTGACCTGTCCTACATCTTACAATGGTTTTCCACCACCTCCTCACCCACAAGGGGACATTGTTCATGGGAGGGGGTCCTCAGTTTCACACTCCACCAGGCTCCTCCCTCTCCTTTCCTCCTCCCACCTCTTTCTTACTCCTCAGATTGATTACCTCTGGGAATCTCAAATCTTTGAAATCCATTATAGAGGCAGTTGATTCCCCAGCAAACCTTGTCTCCTAAAGGCTGCACTCCACATCCATGAAGGAGCTCAGCACACCTTTTAGGAAGATAAAAATATTTTCCCCTTGTGTTAAAAATGGCAACATTAATCGAACACTTCCAATAATAGCAGTGATATTTATAGAGAATTGACTGTGTGCCAGGCACCATGTTAACTTAAGCATTTTATGTGGTGTATCCCCATTTAAAAATCAGAATGTCAGTGGGTGATGACTCTGTCCCACCATCCCACCGAGGCCTGGGTTAGCCGGTCCAGCCCCCCGCTGGCTGACCCCATCACAGCCCCCCTGGGCAGTCCATTCCATGGTTTCAACCTGCACATGTCCGCCAGCTTTGGAGCTTTGCTGCTTTTGCCTTTGACTAGGTCATCAGCTAATCCAGGGTTTCTTAACCTCAGCCCTGTTGACATTTGGAGCTGGAAATTCCTTTTTGTAGGGGCTAGCTTGTGTGTTGCAGGAAATGATGCTGTGTTCATAGAAGCTTAATTGTTTTTCATGGTATTCCCTGGAAGAATATCAATTCAGCAGCCTTTTTTTCTTTAATATTAATGCTGGTTCATAGAAATTCCAGAGTCTGAGAACTTTGGCCCCAGCTCTGAAAAGCCATGATTCTGCATAGGTATTTGAAGGAAGAAGGTTCTTAGCTTTCATGCTGACCTTTTGATGAGGTTTAAATGACATCACTGAAATGAAGCTGCCCCAGCAGCCTTCATGGGAAGTATCCATTTCAAGCGTAAAGGCTGCTGAATACTGGAAGATGTAAGATAAGCATTCTCACCAACTAGAGAGGCATAGATCACCTCTGCTACTAAACTCTGAATCAAGCCAAAGCATGTAAGTATGGAGAGTTTGGAAGTAGGATGAATGGAAACCAACTTGACAAAAATGTACTTATTCCTATATAAAATGATGCAAATATAGCAAACTATGATGAAAAGCAGAGAAGTTTAGGACGATTGCCTAAAAAAGATACATTAAACCATTTTGTGAACTGTCAGAATTCGAATTCAACCATTTTTTGAGCATCCAGCATGTGCCAGATTCTGGGGATACTGAATGAATAGGACAGAACCCCTGTCTTTGGGGCTGCCGGTCCAGGGGGGTGCAGACACATACCTGCATAACTGACGTTAAGAGTGTATTGTGCCTGGCGACAGCGTGGTTCAGTAGCTGAGTGTCTATCTATGAACCAGAAGGTCACAGTTTGATCCGGGGTCAGGGCACATGCCTGGGTTGTGGGCTTGATCCCCAGGGTGGGTCCTGTCGTGCAGGATGTAGCCAATCAATCATTCTCTCTCATCATTGATGTTTCTCTCTCTCTCCCTTCCTCTCTGAAGTCAATAAAATTATATATATATTTTTTAAAAGAGTGTATTGCTACAAAATTTACAGCTGGTGATCTCTCAGAAACCTGGGAGAGGTCTCTCTCTCTCTCTCTCTCTCTCTTTCTCTTTCTGTCTCCCTGCCTCTCCTTTCCTCCTTCCCTCGCATTCCTCTGGACCCAACTCCACGAAGAATCTTGTCTCTACATCTCTTTGCAAGTCTGTTCCATTTTCCTTCATAAGGCTCTTGGTTCCTACTTCCTCATAGCCTCAGCATGCAGGCAGCTTTGGAAGGCTCCAGCTCTACACCCAAATCTCAAGGGTCCTGTGTTTCTGGTGCCTACTGTGACCTGCTGTTTCAATTTCCAGTGCTGGAGGAGAAACCCCAGATGGGCTCTACTTATCCTGTCATTTTTCCGCTCTGGTCATGCCTCTTCTGGGCTGCTAGTGGGTAGAGCAATTTCTCCAGTGATGGGGAGATGATTGAGAATGAGCATAGATGAGCAATTTCTAGGTCAATAGGGGATGAAGGGTTAATTCTGGCTGCGGAAGGTGGGAAGTTTCTTGGAGCAAATGGAGTTTGCATTGGCCTCTGATAATTAGAAGGGCCTTTTAATCAGAAGGAGGCCAAAGCTCAGAAATCGGAAATCCAACAGAGGTTGGGGAAACTGACACCAGGGTGGCTGGAGGGTGGTTTGAATAGGGTCATTGCAGGAGGAAAAGAGATAAGAGAGTAAAGTTGGATTGAGCCAAATTATGTAGGGTTTGAATGTCAGGGCAAATTTGGCTTCTATTTTGCAGTCTTTGTAAAGTCATCAAAGGTTTTTAAGCAAGAGCATGACTTTTTACTCTTTTCCTTTGACCATCCAAGTCACACTGCTGCTAGAGTGCTCTTTCTCCAGTGCAAATCTGAACTTGGCACTTCGTGGCTAAAAATTCTTCAATGGCTCCCCACAGCTGTATTAATAATAATGGCTATCATACATCAAGAGCATAGTCAATGGGAAGCAGTGTGCTCGGCGTTTCAGAAGCACTTACATTCTCACAATTGCCTTTTGGGGTAAGTGGCACCATCTCCATTTTATAGATGAGGAAACAGACACATAATCAGATAAATAAGCTGATAAAGGTCACTACCTTTGAAGAGATTTGAACAAGTGCTGTCTGACCCTAAAGCCTCTCTCACTTTAGGGCAATATTATCTTAGGATACAGTCCAAACTCATTAGCATGGCAAACCTTGCTCTTTATGATGCTGTAGGCCAGTGGTCAGCAAACTGTGGCTCGCAAGCCACAAGCAGCTCTTTGGCCCCTTGAGTGTGGCCACGAAGTTTCAATCGCACTGTACATGCACGCCCGCATGTGGTATTTTGTGGAAGAGCCACACTCAAGGGGCCGCAGTTTGCCGACCACTGCTCTAGGCTTTGCTTATAATTCAGCCTCCCCCCACCTTCTGTGAGAAATGCTCACCTGTCCGAATTCAAATAAGGGACTCAGAGACAGAAGTATGGCCAAAGTGAGACTTTTAATACATTCTCAAGAGCAAGTGACCGTCTGGTTGCACGGGCACACAGGCAGTAGTGACCACACCTTATTTATTCAGTCCCTCCTCCGGTTCCTCATTGGATAAGTATTATGGGGTCACCTGTTTCCTCATAGTCACCTAGGTCTTATTGTCTCCCATTGGGCCATTAAAAAAAAAAAAAAGAGCTGAGGCCTTTTCTAGTTGTCTCCACCTCCCCCTGTCGCCTTGGGTGTTTCCACCATGATACTGGTTCATGTCCAAGGTTCTTTGTTCTTATATCCTCTTCTCTCCTCTCTACATTCTGTTTGCCCTGGGGAAATTCAGTAACTGTTTCCATTAAAAGTTGACCATGCTGGAGATGGATCACAGAGGCCTATTTCCTGTACCATCAAAGTACATTTGGAATTTCACTGCTTTTTACCCACATTCACCATCCTGGTTCAAGCACCATCTTGGGCCTGGATTACTGGAGTAGTCTCTTAACTGGCCTCTCAGCTTCTGTCCCTACCACCCCGATGTCTGTTCAAACACAGAAGCCACAGTGACCAAGTTAAAGCACAAGTTTGATCATGTCATTCATCTGCTCAGAAACACCAGTGGCTCCTGTGATGGGTGAAATAATGCCCCCTCAACCCCAAAGATGTCCACATCCTAATCCCTGTGAGAATTCCCCATGACAGAAGGGAATTAATGTTGCAGACAGTTTGCTAATTAAAGGTTGCTAATCAGCTGACCTTAAAATAGGGCAATTACTCTGGATTACCCTGTTGTGCCCAATGTAATTACGAGAGTCCTTAAAAGTGGAAGAGGGAGGCAGACAGGAAGATCAGAACGACATGATGGGAGAAAGACTCAACCCGGCTGCTGGCTTTGAAGATGGAAGGGGGCTAGGAGCAAGAGATGTGGGCACCAGAGGCTGGAGGCAGCAAAGAAATGGCCTGAGAGCCCCCAGAAAGGAACGCAGCCCTGCCAACACCTCGACTTCAGTCCAGTGAGATCTGCTGGAGGTTGGGCTTTTGAACTTCAGAACTGTAAGAATTAAATTTGTGTTGTTTAAGACTCAAGGTGTGTGGTAAGTGGTTATAACAGCCAGAAGGAATGAATCTAGTTCCCACTCTCAAGCAAGGTAAAAGCCAAATGACCTGGCCCCTGTCACCTCTGGGGTCTCACCTGCCACCTTCTACCGTATTTACTCCTCAGCCACACTGGCCTCTTGCTGCAGCCACCCATCTCTGTAGAACGAATGCATGATTTTGAAACTTCATTATCCGAAAGAAAGAGGAGTGGTGATTTGCGGATGATCCCCAACAAGAGCTTGAAGCCAGGGCTCTTGTCCAGCTACCAGTAGGTTATTATTGCCTTTATACTTAGCTTTCAATTCAGCTTCCTTCCCAGAAAGCCTTGTGATTAAATCTCCCCTGGCCACCTGGCAACGTGTTTAAATTCCTTTCCAACGAGGGAATCTTTACGTCGACCATAATATTCTTTGCCAGAAGAGTAGTTCATTTCTTTCTGTGTGAAATTTAATGACAGAAACCATTCTTTAAAAGACAGAGGAAGAAATTTCCAGAGCATTGGATTGTGTACTGACCAAGACAGGCAAATTCCTTAGAAGACAAGCCCGGCTTTCCTTCAGCCAAGGAGATTAGTGTGTGGATTTCTATTTATACCCTGGGACGGGGAGTGAGCTACACGGAAACCTGGACACATTTCTCAGTATTGTTGGCAATATCAACCTGAGTGCAAACAGCCCTCCTCTTTTGCTGACCTGGTATTTCTATTTCCAAACAGGAAGGTCTGATTCGTTAGCTTTCGGCCACTCAGTGGAGGGCTCCTGCTGGACATTTGTGCCGAGTCACTTCGGAGCTAGCTGACCAGCCTGTGTCCAGCCCGTAGGTGTTGCAGGCTGTTCCAGGACTGATCTCTGATTCAGTCAGCTCTGTTATGAGAGCAGAGGTGGCTTTCCCTCACAGCTTGTGGGGACCGGCCTGGCAAATATAGCAGCCCTATCCTGTTGTCTGCATTTTATGTTATTTATTTATTTATTTATTTATTTATTTATTTATTTATTTATTTATTGTTTTGGTCTCCCCTTCTAGGTTGTGCTCTCAGGGTTTTCATTCCCAGGCCCTGCCCCCTGGCCTGAAGGATAGGCATGTGATCCATGTCTGGCCAGTTTATAGTACCCAGTCCCTTCTGACACTGATGGTTCTTCATGAAAATCAGATCCCATTATTTCCTATCCGATTTCCTTTTAAAACATTTTGATGTCTTTCCATGACTGTGAAGATAAAGGGCATGATCCTTGACCTCCATGGTTTGGATCAGAGGTCTGCAGATTTTTCCTGTAAAGGGCAGAGAGTAAATATTTTAGGCTTCATGGGCCATAAGGTCTATGTCTTAACTCTTCAACTGTGCCATTGTAGCCAAATGCAGCCATCAGCATAAGTAAATAAATGAGGGTGGCTATGCTCCAATAAAACTTTATGAAAATAGGCAGTGGGCCATAATTTGGGCACTTCCTCATTGGAAGGTCTGGAACCTTGCCCTCCATTCATATATCCAGCCTCACTGGCCTCCAGTCAGAGCCTTCATGCTCAAACCCACAGGCTCCCTTTTTTCACAGGGCGCACAGCCTGTCATATCCTCCTGAACCTGTGTATTCTTAACCACGATTACCACCCAGATCACTGTTCAGATGTTGTTTTCTCAGGGAATCTTCCCTGGTACCCTGAGACTGGGCCAGATTCCCCTGGTATGCTTTCCTAATGTGCTTCACCTCTCCTCCATGTTTTGTGTCATCGTCGTAATTTTCAGTATTTCATGTTGATTTGCTGTCTGTGTCTCCATTAGATAATACTTTCCATATGCACAAGGCCCTGTCTGCTTTGTTCAGTACCTGGCATTGTGCTTAGTGTGTTGTAGTAGCATAATATATATTTATTAAAAGAAAAGGGGGGAAGGGAGGGAGCGGAGGAGAGAGATGGAAAGAAGAAAGGAGGAACCAGTCCTCTAAATCTGCCTGTTAAATGACTGAGCATTCAAGGGCAAAAAGAAAAATAGATATTTTTCTTATGTGCCCATTGTTGCCATCAGTAGAATGTGTAGATTGAGTGACACCGGCAGTCCTTGTCCATCCAGATATTTGGTAGCCTTTGATGCTTGCGGCTGTTCCCTGGAGGTGACATTGGATCTCAAGCTTGACTGTGCAGTTGGGGACTTTTTTTTGCAGTCCTTCTCCCAGCATCCTGACCCTCCACATTGCCTTCTATGTGTCCAAGTTCTCTGTTAGGGATGCCGATCAAGGTCATCTCTCCCAGAGTGCCCTTTCCTAAAGGTACGAAGACCTCCTGGGGGCAGATCCCAGCTCCAGGACATAATGCTTATATGACCTTGAGCAAGCCACCTAAACTCCCCGAACTTCAGTTTCCTCTCTGTAAAATGAAGGTAATAAAATTACCTATGACCCGGGTTATTGAGAGGATTTAATGAGGTTCATATGTAGAAGTTACTTCATATAAAGTCTGACATACTTAGTGTTAACAAGTTAACTATTAATAGCTAAATTTTAGAAAAAGAATCATCTGATTATCTAATTGAAGCAATTGAGCCCATCCTTAAAATATGTGGGGTCCAGGCTAGAGTACAAATGGTCTAAATGTTTAAAAATTATAAATCAAGCTGTTAAATTGAATTTGTCTTCTCCGTCTATAATAACAAATATGGCTTCATAATGGCACAATTATTTTAAAAATTGGAAAACTGTAGTTTTAAATGACTGAAAGTTGGCAAAATATCAAAGACAACTGACTGTAATTATTATTATACTAGAGGCCCAGTGCACAAATTAGTGCACCAGTGGGGTCCCTTGGCCTGGCTTGTGGGATCGGGCCAAACCTGGCTCTCCAACATCCCCCTAAGGGTCCCAGATTGTGAGAGGGCACAGGCCAGGCTGAGGGACCCCGTGGTGCACAATCAAGGGACATAAGAGGTTGGCCAGCTGGGAAGGGACCACGGGAGGGCTCCAGGGTGTGTCCGGCCATTCTCGCTCAGTCCTGATCAGCTGGACCCGAGCAGCAAGCTAACCTACTGGTCAGAGCATCTGCCCCTTGGTGGTCAGTGCATGTCATAGCAAGCATTGAATGGCCTTAGCATATCATTCGGATATTATGCTTTGATTGGTTGAATGGCTGACCGGCCGACTGGACACTTAGCATATTAGGCTTTTATTATATAGGATGTGTGCTGTTGGTGGCCCAGAAATATTTGGATGAGGATGAATTTTTTTTTTTTAGGGGAAAGCACAAATGCAGTCTCCCACTACCACAAATTATGCAGTCGAGTTTCCTGCATTTGTGGAAATCGCAGGGGTTAGCACTCCAGGATTACAATGGGGTGAGCCTCCCCCTGGGAAAAAGACCTTGGTGATCCTGGTATTTCCCCTACCAGGTAAGGAAGATTTGTTTAATATTATAACATGTTTCTCAACTGCCCACATGCACTTTTTTGTGTAGTTATGTTAATTCATCATGACTTTAGAAACTACAAGTGGAACATAAATAAAAGGAAGAAAAAGATGCTTAGCATTGGCAGGAAGAGCACTGTACTACACAAAAATCTGTGTAATTCATGCTGTCTGAGAGGAAGGAATTGACAAGTTAATTAATCTGCCTTTTCTGTTGCTACAGGCTCCTACCACTTCAATCCCCTGTGCCCTCTGGAACAATGTCTAGCTCAGATGTTGGCAGCAACAACCCACAAACCTTCACAGCACTGAGACCCAGGAGCCTTGGTTTTGAGGACAAAAGGTAAAATGTGGAAAAGTTTTCTCTGGGGCCTGAGAGGTGGTGGTCCCAAGAATGGATGTTTAGTTTAGGATTAGGGGTAGTGATGTGTCCGTTCTGAACGTCAGGTCCCCAGTGACAGAAAAGCATACATGTGTTACTTAATGTGTGTGTGTGTGTGTGTGTGTGTGTGAGAGAGAGAGAGAGAGAGAGAGAGAGAGAGAGAGATAATGTGGGGTCTTCTAGGACAGAAACCTCTTTTCTCTGCCCAGGTCTTAGAACAGTATGAAAAGGAATTGCCTGGATGGTTGACTGACAGGTCTTTTGGGGCATTTGCATTGTAACAAAGACTTCTACGTAAGCCTCAAAGAATTCCTGGGATGAATGGGGCCTTAGAAGGCAATTTTGAGCCAAGGAGATGTACACTGCCTCTTGTCCTCACTGTTCCTTACTGCCCTGTACCCATCAGAAGAATGGGGTTCTACAGCTAAGCATTCTCATTCTGACTCTGCATCTGTCTTGTCTGCTTTAGCTAAGCACCAGTAGAGCCACAATTTAGTAACAAAATATATTTAGCAAGCAAATGTTTTAATTCTTTTTCTCCTGATTGATAGCAGAGTTTCAGGGAAGTACTTTGACAAGTAACTTAATAATAAACACAGCAAAATAAAACAGAACTAATGAAAGAAGGTAAGATACTGATGTGCAGAAAATCTCAACACTGTCGTTGTTGTTTTTTGTAATCAGGAAAACATTACCAAGATGTATTACTCAGAAGTGCCTCCTAAAAGCCTTTTTAAAATAAAGGTACTATTAATGGGCATCCTACAACTGAAATAAGCCCTCACATAAAAATGAAGGAAAGCATAGAAATGGAGGCACAGAGGTGCTAAGCAGTTTGCACAAGGTCACACAACTGCTAAGTGACAGGGACAGTATTCCAAGTGAGGTTCATCTGTGCCCAGATTCTGACCAGGTGACACCATGACATACAGTATATAGTACACTAGCTCTTTGTTCCTTCTACCTCACAACCAGAGGAACTAAAGAATCAACATTAGCAGACATTCAGAAGGACCCTGGCTGAGGATCTTTCTTCTGCTTACTCTTCAGGTTCCCCCAAAAGACAAAGAAGTCTTATTAACACTGCAAATAGCTAATAAGCATGAGTTCAAGTGTTAGGTTAGGACTCAGGAGTGGGCAAACTTTTTGACTTGAGGGCCACAATGGGTTCTTAAACTGGACCGGAGGGCCAGAACAAAAGCATGGATGGAGTGTTTGTGTGAACTAATATAAATTCAAAATAAGCATCATTACATAAAAGGGTACGGTCTTTCTTTTTTTTTTTTTTAGTTTTATTCATTTCAATTCATCTATTGGCCGCCTCCTGCACAACCCCCGCCCGCAGGTCGTAGTTTGCCCACCACTGAGTTAGGTTATAAGATGTTGTAAAGCAACACTTTCTGACTACCCTTTCCTATTGGGTAAAAATCTGACCACTGAATTTTGAAGTACTTGTTTCCTCTAATTACAAAATATTGACTTACTTCAGTTTACTTTAAAACGTTATGAGGTTAGTACTACAAGTTAAAAAAGTGCCAGTAGGGCCTTGAGTACAGTTAACCCTTGAATAGCCTGAGTCCACTTATATGTAGATTGTTTTCAATAATTATGTATAGTGCTGTAAATGTATTTTTTCTTTACGATTTTCTTAATAACATTTTCTTTTCTCTAACTTACTTTATTGTAAGAATACAGTATATAATACATATAATATTCAAAATATGTTAATTGACTATGTTATTGGTAAGGCTTCTGGTCAACAGTAGGCTATTAGTAGTTAAGTTTTTATTATTAATTTTTAAGAGCTCTTTATATTTCTGGATTCAAGTCCATTCTCAGATGTATGATTTGCAAATATTTACTCTCATTCTGTGAATTGTCTTTTCACTGTCTTGATAGTGTCCTTTGAAGTACAAAGTTTTAAAATTTTGGTGAGTCAAATTTATCTAGTTTTTCTTTGCTTGCTTATGCTTTTGGTGTCATATCTTAGAAACCATTGCCTAATCCAAGGTCATACCTATGTTTTTAGTTCTTACATTTAGATCTAATCCATCTTTTTAAAAATATTTTTATTGATTTCAGAGAGAGGAAGGGAGAGAGAGATTGAAACATCAGTGATGAGAGAGAATCATCTATTGGCCGCCTCCTGCACAACCCTCACCGGGGATCGAGCCTATAACCCAGGCATGTGCCCTTGACCACACTTGAACCTGGGACCCCTCAGTCCGCAGGCCGACGCTCCATCCATTGAGCCAAACCGGACAGGGCAGGTCTAATCCATCTTGAATTAATTTTGTATATAGTATGAGGTAGAGGTCTAACTTCATACATTTTCATGTAGATATCTAGTTGTCCCAGACCATTTGGTGAAAAGATTATTCTTTCCCTCATTGCATTGTCTTGTACCCTTTTCAAAAATCAGTTGACCATAAATGTGAGAGTTCATGTCTGGACTCTCAATTCAAGACCTCAGAGCCTTTGCATAGGCAGTTCTTTTATAATAAAGTTCCCTTGCCTTCTTACCAGACTGCCCCTTTATTACAGGACTCTCTATCCTCTCTTCCAGGCATTGTGACACCCCTTCCTTAGACCTCATTGTTCTTAGCACATACTTTTATCCTTGACTCTGTCACTCCAAAGGGTGTTTAAATTTGCTAATATGCATGTCATTCCAACTAGACTGTGATTCTTGAATGCAGGGACAATAACTCCTTATCACTCCAGGACCAGGAATTCAAAGTGTGTTGAATGAATGATTTGAATTCACTTGGTATATGTAAACTATGGGTAGAAGAGTGACTAGAATTTTATGACCATTAACCCTGGAAAGCACATCTATGGGTATGTTTTTTATACAAACTGAAGAGGAGCTTTGACAATTATTGGATTCATTGAAAGTTTTTGACTTATTAAGAGCCTTGTCAGGCTTTATACATACATATTTAAAAGAAATCCATTTGAGGGCCTGAATGCATCGGTCAAATAAGCCAATGGTTGTCAAAACCTCTCTTTCCTTGGAACTCTATAGAAATTGACCTAGATGCTCATCCAACCTCTAGCAAATTCTGTTCTCATTTCTGCTAACGCTACTTTTCCTCAAAACACACTTGGGCCCAAGGACAGTTTCCCAACACAGCATTTATTACTCCATTCATGTATTCTAATAAACAAAACTGACACATACTTCCTTCCAATGTAATATGAAGGTTAGGAATCTTCTACTTTGAAACTATTCCACATGTCTCAACTGTGCCAAGGATCTTTCAAAGGACTTCATAATACTTTTAACCACAAAGCCGCTACAAATGGCTTTGCCTTTGCATTAGAGTTCAGAGGTCACATGTAAACCTTGAATAAATTGCACTTAGTTTGTGAAATCAATAATTCTCTTATTACTCTCTACTTGAGTCCTAAACTTTTTTATTAAGACATTTCTAAGTGCTCATTCTAATATCAAAACACCAAAATTTCAGAAGACACTTTAGAGCCACAATCTATCAGAAGCAACAAAAATGAACAACAAAGGTCCACTTAGGAAAAACTGAGTTGAAGAGAGGGGGAGGGAATTAAGCTCAAGCCCTTCCTCCCCTTCCTCCCATGGAGTTTCTGTCACATAGAAATATAAAGAGACTTACCACTCCCAACGTTTTTTTTTAAGTCAGATAATTTTGGGAAACAATGGGCTAACCTCTGATAAGCAAAGTCATTCCTTATTGCAGACCAGGGAGCCTCTAATATGCTCATGGGTGCATTACGATTCTCAAGGGAGAACATTGTGTAATTTTCTCTAAAGGCATTTGAGCATGGAACATTTTTGTTCCAGGTCATCTCTTCTCAAGGTTAGTGTTCCATGGAACACACTTTGGGAAATGTTGCCTGACAACTTCTGTAAGAGTCTAACTCCTGGGTTTGCACATAAATTCACACTCCTTTATTCATATCTGAAAACCCTCCTCTTAAGGAACAATCATGTCTCAAGAAGGAGAAATGTTTCTATGGCTTAGGGCATCTGTGGTTTAATTCAGGGAAGTGTTTTCATGCTACTTGGCCAGAGCTAAGCCATGTCCTCCAATATTGTTTTTCAGTAATAAACATAATTATTTTCATTTCCATCTGTTGAAATCCTGTGTCTCTCAATTTGTTTAAAACTCAGCAGAATTTTTTTACTGGGCTCATTAAAACCTCAACAAGACCCATTAAGCTGAGGTTCCTCCAGACACATTTTGAAAACCACTGCTTAGGTTAATGGGGACTCGGTGGGCATCACAGAGTTGGAAGCAAAGGAACAACAAGATCAAATCAAGAGCTGATGGAGGCAGGGATACCTGACTGAGTCAGGAAAAAGATACTGGGGACCTGATCCGGGGCAATGGTGGTTAGAGAAGAGAGGAAGTCATGGAGGGGACAGATTGGTAGGCAGGACTTGATGGCTGATGGCTCTGGGTCAGGGGAGCACCTGACCTGGGTGACTGTGAATAGAGCTACATGAAGAAGAAGAAAGGGGAAGGTCAATTGTGATCTTTATTTGAGCTGTGTGTCCTCAACTCTCACGGTTAGAGGAGGGAAAAGATAGCATTGGTAATAGAGAGAAGAGGGAAATTATGAGACTAGGCTGAAGCTTTCCTAGGGTTGGGGTAGAAAAGCATTAGGAAGGAACATGTGTTCAGGGAAGTCTTCACTTTGAAGCTTGCCCTTGGAGGTTGCCTCACTTCCTGTCCAGGCCCGCAATTTGGGAGGTGACATTAGCAGCTGCTCAAGCAAGAAAAAAACTTTCTTTTATTTATTTATCTATTTTTAAATTTATCTTTATTGTTGAAAGTATTACAGATGTCCTCCCATCAAGGAAGTACTTTCTCATTTTCAGTTTACAACTACCATTCTGCCAGACACAGGTGTCTGCCTGCATCGGTTGCCTCACTTCCTGTCCAGGCCCGCAATTTGGGAGGTGACATTAGCAGCTG